GAGGAGGAGGAGAGAGGAGGAGGAGGAGGAGGAGGAGGAGGAGGAGGAGGAGGAGGAGGAGGAGGAGGAGGAGGAGGAGGAGGAGGGAGGAGGAAGAGTGAGAGGAGGAGGAGGAGGAGGAGGGACAGGAGGAGGCAGATGAACGAGGAGGAGGAGGAGGAGGAGGTGTTGATTCGTTTCCCTTGCAGTATCGGTGCCACGCCGCCGTGTGGGGGGGCCCCGTCGGCGCGCTGCTCTCCTCCGCTGCCGTCCGACGAAAGCCTGGTGCCTGTCCAGCGGTGAGCACGCTGGCGCGCTCCCCACGGCAGCGTGCCGCTCCTCCTCCTCCTCCTCCTTCTTCTCCTCCTCCTCCTCCTCCTCCTCCTCCTCCTCCAGATCCCGTGGTCGAGCGGAGTCATCGATGCGGGCAAGATTTGTATCCAGATCCACCTGCGTCTTGGCCTTTCTGGGAAAGGGGGCGCCACAAGGCCGAGGCGCCGTGGCCATGACGGATGCAAGTCTAGCCCCAAGAGGGGCCAAATCTTTCTGCACATCCACTGCGCCTCGGGCTTCTGGAGAAGGGAGCCCGAGACTCCAAGACGCAGTGGGGGTGGATACGCATCTGACCCGCCATCGGCCCTGCGATCCTCCGGTCGCCGAGGTCGGGGGACAAGCAGAAGATCGGGGAGGAGTTCCAGAGGCTGCGGAGGAGCACCGCGGTGGCCCGGCCCCCGCAGAGAGGGGCAGGGGTGGGGGGCCAGCGGAGGCGCAGTCCACCGTGCCCCCCTGGGAGGTCTGTGTCAGGGGCACTTCGCCCGCAGGCCCGTGGAGGCGCTTCGCAGGTTTTCAGCCGCCAGGGTGCAAGAGGAGCGCTGCGGGCAGGAGCTTTGGGGCTCAGCGTGTCCCGCCGCTGGTTCTGGCCCACCACGCTTCGGCGCGACGCGCTGTCCACGTCCCCACTCCCATGCGCCAGGGTCCCGAGCTCTTCCCACGTCTTCGGTCGGAGCGACCCGCTATCCGCTCGCATGGCACAGCGTGCCGTCGCTGGGGCCGCCGCCGCGACTCGCCAAGCAACTCCTCCCGACCGGTTATGGTGGGGGCGTTCGCTGAGGAATGTGCCCAGGAGACTTCAGATCCTCGAGGATCCCTTTATCTAGTGAGTGCGGCGGTGATACCCCATGCTCCATGACCGAGCCATGATTGGAGCTCCACCTGCTTCCAAGTCCCGGACTCCTTCCCCCAATTCTCGAGGACAGCGGGACCCACCCCCACCCCGAGCCAGGACCCCCACCACCGACCCGGTTGACCCACGCGGTCCTGGCCGGGGGCCCCAGGTGGCTTGTGGCCCCCCCCCCGCCCCCGGCCAGGACATCCTGCTTCGCCAGGTCGGGAGTTGGCGCCTTGGCCGGGGGCGGGGGTGCGAGCAGCGCTGGGCCGAAGAGGCTGCCCCGACCTGCGTGGAGTCCAGCTTGCCCTCCGCGCCTCGCCGCGTCCCACTCCCCCCCCCGCCCTCCGCGCTGTGGCAGGCCCGTGCCAGCGCCCGCGGCAAACACGGCCGCTGATCCACTGCCCTCGCCGCGCGTCGCCCGTCCGGGCGCTCGCGCCTGTGCGGGGGCGGTGGCGGCGCCCTCCTCCCGGAGGGCAGGCGGCCGCGCCGCGCACCTCGTCGCGGCGCGCGCGCGGCGCATCGTGGAAGCCGCGCGCAGCGTCGGCCCGGGGCGGCCCCTCCTCGCTGTGGCCCGGCGGCCCAGTCTGGTACCCCCCACTTGTTCTGCCTCCTCCTCCTCCTCCTCCTCCTCCTCCTCCTCCTCCTCCTCCTCCTCCTCCCTCCTCTCCCCATCCTCCTCCTTCTCCTGCTCCTGCCCCCTCCTCCGCACGCCTCCACATCCTCCTCCTCTTACTCCTTCGTCTCCTCCTCTCCTTCTTCCTCCTCCTCCTCCTCCTCCACCTCCACCTCCTCCACCCTCCTCCTGCTCCTGCTCCCGCCCCCCTCCTCCTCCTCCGCACGCCTCCACACTCCTCCGCCTCCTCCTCCTCCTCCTCATCCATCTCCTCCTCCTCCTCATCCTCCTCCTCCTCCTCCTCCTCGCCCCGGTGGAGCGGGGGCAGGTCTGCCCCAGCCGCTCGCCTGAGGTTCGGCCTTCGGGCTAGCCCACGGGATCTCGGGCCGGTCGCTTCTCGTCCACAGGCAGGGCTGCAGCCTCTGCTTCTCGCTGCCTCTGCAGGGTTTCGGCCGTCCCTGCATGCCTCCCCCGTCCCTGCCCCCCCCGTCCCGCGGTATCGTTTAACCCATGCCCATCCGCACCAGACCATGGTATCCCAGCCCCCCCATCCCGCCACCCCAGCTGGGGATCGGCCCTCCGGAACCCGAAGGGAACAGCCTGTATCCCGACCCAGGGGGCAAATCGGCCAGTGAGGCCCAGGCCACGCCAGTGGGGACAGGGATCGGTTCAACGATGCTCGCGCCTCCCCCCCCCCCGTCCCCGCCGCGCCCCCCCTGCCCCTGCCCCCCAGAGGGGCGGCGGGGCCGTCGCAAGGAGCACGATCGAGCTCCGCGCGGACATCAAGGCCCTGCGCGCCCGCGCGCGCCCGTCGCCGCGCCCTCCTCGCCCCGCCCTGCCCTCCGACCGTTCGTGCGCCCCGCGCGGCCAGCCCGCACATGTGAGGAGGACTGACTTCCCGAGGGGTGCCCTCGCATGCGTGCCTCCTCGGTCACCTTCGGGCCATCCTCGGCCACTTCCGATGGCCAGCCCCGCTCGAGGAGCCTCGGCATGGGCGTCCCAGGCCCCTGCATCCTTGATCCTTGCCGCGCATCCTTATGCTGTATACGGGCTGAGTGGGACTTCCGCGGGGCTGCCGCAGCGCGCAGCCTCGCTCGGCGAGTCCACGGGCGAGCTGTACACAACCGCGCGCAGCAGACACCCCCTAACCCCCTCCAACGCCCTGCAAAAATCACGGCGGAGGTTTTCGCCATCTTCGGCCTCCGGGGGCCTTTTTCGGGCCCGGGTGCGATCAAACATCAACATTGGCTCAGGATGAACAGCCGGTCCCTGAGGGAAATAAGAAAAAGATCATGGCCTTGTGTCGCGTTGTTTCCACGGCATTCCCCAGCTGGGTTAAGTTCGATCTGAGCGAGACTACCCCTGAGCTTCCTCGCCCGCCTCAGCCTCCTGCTCATGGACTAGACCACCAGAAAGAATGTCATCGCGGTGTGTGGAGGTGCCAATGCTGCCTTCTATTCAGGTCCTCTTCCCCATGGCTGTGAGGAGTGAACCTCCTGCTGCTGTGCAAGACATGATGAGCTTTGGTCATCGGCTGCTCCGTCCATGCTAGTTGTCCGTTTGCGTTACAGAGCCTTCGCGCGCATGGTACCGATAGTTCGCCTCCTCCGCCAGTCTTCCTATCCTCGTCGCGCTGGACGGAATGCTGTTAACCGCTGAAAGCGGATCCAGACCAGAGGGGCCCTCATCCTGAGCTCAACGGGGTTTTCTTGTACATCCCCCCTGGCAAGACTTCGGTCTCTAGGGAAGGTCTATTATTACTGTCTTCTTTCGCTTCCCTCAGTTGATCAGCTGGTGTGCGATTTCAAGTGGAACGCGAAACCTCGGATTGCAAAAAAAACCCTTCGTTCTTTTGCAATCCTTCGTTTTTGTTGCAATCCTTCGTTTTTTTTTGCAATCCTTCGTTTTTTTTGCAATCCTTCGTTTTTTTGCAATCCTTTTCCTCTGCGCACCCGCTGGGGCCTCCCTGTGGCCAGCGCCCCCCAGGGGTGAGAGAGCGCTGCGCCGCCCGATCGTGGTGCAAAAGGCCACCCCGCCGAGTTCCGCTGCTTGAGCCCATCCCGGCTGAGATAGCGCCGGAGGCGACGCTGCATGGAACTTGGTGGTCTCCAAACCAGGTGGTGAGACACCCGGTGGTGACCCCGATTCCCCCAACAAATAATTCTGGGTCACCACCGGGTTTGGGGACACGCGGTCGCCACGAGGTTTTGCGTTTCCTGGGCCAGCCAGCGCTCGAAAACCATTACCCAAATCGCCCAAAACTCACCACCGGGTGTTCTCACCACCACGTTTGGGGACCACCAAGACGCTGCATGGATGATGGAGGCGGCTGCGCCGTCTCCTCCCAGGACAGGCCCGACGCAACCCCAGGCAGGGGTGGCCTTCGGCGTGCGGCCTCCGCGGGGCGTGGGGGCGCCAGACCTGGGCGCGCTGGAGCCGCTGCTGCCGCATCGCACGCCCGCGAGCGGGCGATCTCAGCCGGGGCCGCACCCAACAAAACGAGCCACTCGGACACACTCCAGAGCCGCCAGTGCTCGATTTGGGTCCGGAGCTCGGCCGAGGAAGAGATTCGGTGGCTACCTAGGTGTTGGAACATCGCGAGGCAAAGACGGGATCCCGCTGCGGCATGCTGCCGCAGGCTCCTCCAGAGCAGGAGGAGCATGAGGAGGAGGAAGAGGTGGAGGAAGGAGCAGGGGATAATGATGAGGTGGCGGATCGGAGATGGCGGGGGTGGTGGAGGAGAAGGAGGTGGAGGATGCGGTTTAGGTTCGTCTTGCCAGCTAGCGCAATCTCTGTCACCGATTGCCCGCTATCTCACAATCGGGTTGTAGCAGTGGTGGAGGAGGTAACGAAGTGGACCCACCTTCCCGAAGCGATGATCTTTTCCAGGACGAGGTCCCTCGGATCTCTCCACATCTGGTTCTTCGCCCCAGGTAGTTCCCCAATTTGCGCTTGCACTGACAGGGTCTTAGCAGAGGTTGTAAGGATCTGGCGAAAGTTGTCCGCCGATTTCGGTCGGCAGTCGGTTTACTGAGTTCCTGGGTTTCCAGTTCTCGGTTCCTGGGTTCCTGGTGTTGTAAGTATTTGTCGAAGGTTGCCACCGATTCTGCCATGCGGCCAGGTTCCAAGATTATGGTCCGGATGTGGTTGAATGTTTTTCGCTAGTCTCTTTAGGCGGCCGTGATTCTGGACTCCCAGAGGAAAGTGCAGGAGGAGGACATTGAGAAATGTAGAAAGAGAGAGAGAGAGAGAGAGAGACAGACAGATGGAGAAAGAGAGAGAGAGAGAGAGTGAGAGAAACAAGGGGTATTATTAAGAGAGAGAGAGAGAGAGAGAGAGACAGAGAGCCAGACATACACATATAACCATATGTATGTATATGCAGTGTCTCTTGGCGGCCTTCAAGAGAGCGGCGGAGTGGCAAAGCCGACGCGCTATCTTGCTGAGGAGCTTCGTTTTCAGACAAGGTGAAGCGTATATCCAACCACAGCAGATTGTCAGAGAAAATAGAAGGTCTTCGCGTGCGACCGCACGCTGTTGATGAAACTTCCCCTACTTAGAGGGGGAACCCTGACCGTGGAATGAGGGTGGCAGGCGGGGTCAGGGAGGCGAGCAAAGAGGGGCGACTACGGGCGCAACCAGCTGGGTAGCGACAAGTCCGAAGCCCTCATCTTCTGCGGAAAACGTGTGCAAACTCACATTCGCACAGTGTTTCTAGGCGGCCTTCAAGAGAGCGGCGGAGTGGCAAAGCCGACGCACTATCTTGCTGAGGAACTTCGTTTTCAGAGACGTCAGAAGCGCTTCGCGTGCGACCGCACGCTGTTGATGAAACTTCCCATACGCATAGTTATGTCCAGGGTGGTGGCGGGGTAGCTGGTTGGCAATTGCAGAGATACTGGCGAGGGGCATTCTTGAGCAGGTTCGGGAGCTGACGGCCGGCAGTGATCGATGCACGCGTTGGCGTGCTGTCATGTCGTGCCATTGCCGAAGGAGAGTGGCATGCTCTACATGTCGCCTCGGCGAGGCCGGACACTTCCACTGCCACGATCCTGGATCTGCTGGAGGCTGAGAGCTTTCATGTAAGCATCCGTCGAAAAGTCAGTGTGCCGAGAACAATGCAGCGCAACTCTAAGATATTGAAGCTCGAGTGCCTAAAGTCTTTTGGATGACTTTCACGTAAGATGGCAACGTAAGATGTTGGAAGGCAGACTCGCCGTCGTGCGCGGAGCCATGAAGAGAGACAGCCACATTTTCACGAAGGCGCGGTCGAGGATGCCAATGACCAAGGTGTCATCCTGCTCCCCTGAGTTGGTCTTCCTTTCCCTCGTACTCGGAGATAGGACCAGACCCCAGCCGACTATCGAGAAACACGCTGCCGCATGGGCGGCAGCAAGTCGTCCCTGTTGATGTCCAGCAGGGCACGGCACCGCACGTCGGTGTCTCCCTGGAGCACGACCGCCAGCGCACTCCAGAAGTAAAGGGCCCGGTGATTGAGCGACAGCGACTGGGCAGTCCACCAGGCGGCTTCGAGCGGGCGTGGGTCACGAGTGCAATCGGGCACGTGCTGCAGCAAACCTCGAAGCGCGGCCTTGGCTTTGGGCAGCGCGCGACCGCCCCGCCCCCACCCGAGGTGTGAAAGCCGCCCCCGCACGCAGCCGTACGGGGTCCACCCTCTCAGCTGAGCGCACAGCCACTCGGAGTCGCTCGACGTCGCAGAGTCTGCCGCCTCTGGCGTGCGGAGGCTGCGCCCCCTGCCAGCTGCACAGGCCTCGAACTCCGAGACCTCGTTCTTGTAGGTTCAGTCGGGCCTCTCCCCCTGCAGGGGGTTTTCGACGAAGAATGAACAGTACCCCCAAAATAGTCCAAACATAGTTTCGGGATTATGTTTTGATTGTTTTTTGATTCGTTTTTGATTCTTTGGGGGGTATCTTAGGGGGACAGGCCCGACTTAATTGTAGGTCTGGGGGGTGGCGAGCGAGACGCTGCTCTCGACCAGGCTGCGAGGCCGAGGAGCAGGCAAGTGCCACACGGACGGCGGACGTGCGAGAGACGCTGCCGCCTGCCTCCGGCCTTCCGCGCGGCTGCGAGCACGGGTGCGCCACTGCTAGGGGACCCAATGCGAACCCTACCCCTACCCCCCACGATTTCTGAGGTGGAGGGGGGGGTCACTTCGCTCGGGAGCTCCCCGACGAACTGAACCCCACCTTCCCACTCAGAAACAAAGGAGGGCAGGGGTAGGGTTCGCATGTGGCCCCCTAATTGCTGGCCGACGTCAGCGACGAGCCGGCCGTGGACGTGGTCGAGGCCGTCGGGGTTCAAGAGACGGGGGTCAATGCAAACGGGGGTCAGCCAGGGCACGGGATCCTGTGGGATCCTGCGAAGACCCCCTCTGGCTGACCCCGGTTCGCGAGCCGCGCGTGGCCGCGAGGCGGCCCGCGCATATTGGCTGACCCGGGTTTGCGAAGACCTGCGTTGCAGCTTTTGGTTTCCTGCTGACCCGGGTCTGGATTGACCCGGTCAGAAGATCCCCGAGGTCGTCGCCGACCGCTGGAGCAGACCGCCACCCGCCAAAAGCCCCTCGTTGACGACGACGGAGGTTGGGAGCGACAGCTCGTCGAAGACTGGCCGAGACAACGACGTGTCGAGCGTCGGCTCTCTGAGGCACAGGAAAAATATGATGGCGTCGTGCGTGGGCCAGAACCAGACGATCAAGAAACCGATTCGATTGGTAGCGTGCCAACCAATCGAGTCGGTTTCTTGATCGTACCCGCAAAACCACATGCATGATATTCAATAACAGAGACACATGAGTCAGATACTATTGCCATGATCGGCTCAAAACCCCAGAGACGTGATGTGAGCGGGTTCTCTAGGAGCAGGCCACGTTTCCAGACAACTTCTGACGAGAATCAAGCGTGCTGGGCCCGAGGAAGTCTTTTTCACGAGCAACTTCCAGATTCCGGATCCCCCGCCTCGCTATGCTAAAGGCGCTGCACGTGGTACCCAGCCACACTCAAGACCTGGCCACGCTGGATGAGACCTATGATGTACTGCCGGATCCCAGGGTTGAGGAGGTCATACTCGGAGGCCTTGGAGAGCTCCACGCCCTCCCCACACGGAACACCCAATGAAGCAACAGCACGAGTGAGACTTTCTTCCCCGCCTGACACGAAGTGTGCGGTTGAGGCCGTACCCTTTGGCCATGTTGGCCCCAAGACTGGAGCCCGCGGGGATCCCGTAGGAGGCCCCGTTGAGGTCACACATGGAGCAGTAGCGCACGGTGGGGTCCGCGAGGATCCAGTGGAAGGCCCCGTTGAGGTCCTGGAGGGCTCCGTACCAGTCGTAGAGGGCCTGGTCCTGGTGGCCCGAGCAGCACCAGTCGCCGAGGAGCTCGGAGGGGCCTTTGATGAGGTACCTGTAGGCGGAGCCCGTGTACTGGATGGGGCAGGCGGAGGTAACAGCACAGGCAACCGCCAAGGGCTCCGTGGAGGCTCGAGGGCGTTCCCGTCCTTGTCCCCCACACAGCGAAGGGCGCCCGCATGGTTGCCGGCTCCTTCGCCGCGCAGCTGGCGGGCAGGGGGCGCCCGAGGCGCCGCCGAGAGGGGGGGGGGGGGGCATCGGCGGGCCGCCCGGACGAGGGCCGCATCCAGGCCGCCGCCCTCCGAGCCGAGCTCGCGGGCCTTCTCCGCCGGGCCGGCGCGCCGCGGTCGAAGCGCCGAGAGCCCGCGCCAGTCGGATGGCGAACTCCTTCGAGGTTTGGCGAGCAGCCCGCTGCGCTCCACGGGCGATCTGCAGAGCCGCCGCCCGCGGACCAAGATTCAGGAGGGGAGAAAACACACAGACACAATGAATCGTCGACCCCCAGGAAAATATGGGAAAGTATGGGAAGTGGGGGGGAAGACAAAAACCCAGACTCTATGGGAACATTTGGGGAATCTGTTTATTTGTGTGTATTATTTGTGTGTCCTGGGGCCCCTTCAAAGATGGCGAAGGCCCCAAGTGGTCCTCTCCGCGCCCCGCCCACGCCCTCGATGGAGGGCGCAGCGGGCGACCGGGCTGCCGGAGAGGGAGAGGGGCTGCCTCCCAGGACAGCGTGGCGTGCGACAAGATGAGTGGGCCGGCCGGCGCTCTGCTTAGCAATTAGCCTCGCCCGTGGCCCGGACGTTGCCTTCGCCGCCTGACCATCGTCTCGTGGCCGCGACCAGAGAAGGGTTGCGACAAGCGCGCCTCGGCCCGGTCAGCATCACCCGGCCCTCCTTCGCACTGATGTGCTCGGACGGGTCGTCCCGCATCCGCGAGGAGGGTCAGCGCATTGGTGTGCTCAGCGCAGCGCATTGATGTGCCCAGGAGGGCCACCGCATCCTTCGCATTGATGTGCTCAGCGCATTGATGTGCTAAGAGGGTCTGCCAGCGCTCGGGGGGGGGTACGGGTTCGGACCCAGCGCCGGCACTCGTTGCGGATCCTCGCGAAGGACACGCTCTCGGAGCGCCCGTCGAGCTCCGCCTGGGGCCAGCCTGCCTGTCGCCTCGAGACGCGGGCGCTCCCGGCGAGTCGGAGCGCGACGGGGAGCAACCACATCAGGCGCGCTCCGACACTCCTGCCATGGCTCGAGAGCCTCCTCCTCCTCCGCCTCCTCCTCCTCCTCCTCCTCCTCCTCCTCCTCCTCCTCCTCCCCCTCCTCCTCCTCCTCCTCCTCCTCCTCCTCCTCCTCCTCCTCCTAAGGGCGAAAGGGCCCGCACTGTCGCAAAGCTCCAGACAGGGCACCAAGTCTGAGCTCGAGTCCACCCGGCCCTCGACGAAACGCCGGCGCTCGTGGTAGGCCGCCGCCTCCCTGAGTTCTGCGCGTCCGAGGCGCCCGCCACGGCCGGGCAGTGGCACAGGTCGGACGAGTCCGAGCAGTGGGCCACGCGAAGCCGGGGCGCCCCGAGGTCCCGCTGGCAGAGGAAGATGAGGCCGATGATCACCTTGATCTACTGACGAACCGAGCCCCACACGCGGCGCAGACGATGCAAGGAGTGCTGGACGAAGTGGTAGACAACCCACAAGCTGGACAGTGCAGGTCCGTTGAGCATGAAGAGGTGCACCACGTGGCCGACCCAAGCTCGGAGTACCTCGCCGCGAAGCCGTCGTCGGTGCAGGAGCCCCCTGCCAGCCAGGTACACCCGCCAGAGTCGGCGAGGCTTATGCTGCAAGAGGCAGCGCCGACCGTCGAAAACGGCGCCAAGGTGTTCAAGCTGAATGGTCTGCTCGACCACGTCGTGTGTGCGCATGCGTCGGTCAGAAAACTGCTGTAAGACTTTTTGAGTGCGTCTGATGTGTCGGTATTAGCACTTAACAGTGCCGCGTTGTCCACATAGGTGGAGGTGATCGGGCTAGCGAAAGAGGCCCGCGGTGCTCGCTGCTTCTCCCGAGCAGCTCGGGAAGCACCCCCTGGGACTCCGGCGGCAACGATCTGCTCCACAGCTGAGTGACAACACTAGACTGCCCGAGTAAAACCCAAGCGAAGCGCTCTGAAGCAGGGGTGCACAACGTTTGAGGGCAGAACTGGCACCATCTCCTCGAGGTCGTCATCCCAGACCTCGGTGACCCCGTAGACGCCGGCCTCGTCGGGATCGTCCATCCCGAACCAGCTGGCCATGCGCCAATTGTCGGACTGGTAGAAGCCGTCCACGACGTCCAGCGAGCTCCCCGAGAAAGGCAGCGAAAAGAGACCCCCTTGCCCCTTGAGGAGCTCGGCCTCCTCCTCAACGCTCAGCTCGGCATCGGCGATCTCCGAGAGCTTCGCCAAACTGAGGTCGACATCTGCCAGAGCGGCAATCGTGCCCAAGTCTGTGTGAGGAGGAATCCGGCACTTCTCATTGGTTGAACGGGCGCCCACAATCAGACGGGTCATCCCGGTCTTCTTCCAGACAAAAAGACCGGTATTCTCGAGAAGATACGGTGCCTGAAGGTGATGAGCTGGCGAGAGTACAGAGTAGAAAACAGTTCACGACGGCACTTCTTTCAGCGCCGCAAGTCTGGGCACCAGTACGGAGTGACAGATACGCCTCCCAAACGATCTGCCTCCAGCTCACTATCACTCTTCAAGATGTGTGTTCGGAAGTCCGTGGCCATCCGCAGCGCGTCAGGGGGGAGCACGGGCTCGAGATGTAAGGGAACGGTGCCGCCCTTCGTCGCCTTCAGCTTGTCGGGAGGGTAGGGCGCCATGTGCTGCGGCTCCTGCGTGTACAGGTCTTCTTTAGCTTAACACACTTCTTTGAGCGCGTCCAGCGGGGTCAGGTCCTTCGGCCGATCGCCGTAGAGGAAGATGCGATCATCCAGAGATTCCAGAGCCGACATCGGAGAGGACGAGGCCCTGCCCGTGCTGCCCTCGTAGAGGCAGCCTCTGTCTGAAGAAACTCTGGTGCGATACCGGAAATTGAGGGAGCGGACTGGCTCCAGAATTATGTCGGGCGTGTCCCCCTACAGGGGGATTTTCGACGACAAATAGAAAATACCCAAAACAGACCCCAAGAAGGTAAAAAAGATATTAAAAAATAGTACCCAGACCATCTTTGGACTATTTGTTTAATATTGTTGGGGTATTTTTAGTTTTCGCCGAGAATCCCCCTGTAGGGGGACAGGCCCGACTCAGCTCCAGAAGGCGCTGGTCTTGCTGTCCCGCCCGCCCGCGCCTTCCTCGCCGCCGGCGCCCGGAGCCCCCAGAGGAGCCCCTCGCCGAGCGAACGGGCAGAGGGAGGGCGTCACCGTGCCGTTGCGGACTGCGATCGTCTCGACGACGGCGAACAAAACTCGAAGCCCGAAGCAACAGACGGGAGGCTCCCACCTGCGACGATGGGGGGGAAGCTGGATCGACCAGGCACTCGATCCCGCCGAAGCCCCGGGGAGCTCTAGCCCCCCCGAGCTCTTGCTCTCGTGGGCGGCATCGCCTTTGCCACCTTTGGGACCCTTGGAGCCCCTGCCGTCGCGCCTCTTCTCATTGGCCGTCCTCCCCTCACGCAGAAGATGAGACTGCCTGAGAGTGAAGACCTGCGGATGCTGCTTCTCGGAGAACCATCTCGTAAACTTCGGCACAGCCGTTCTCCTTTCATCCATGGCCGAGCCCGCCAGCAAGTGACTGAGCCCGATGTAGTCCTGATGTTTGGAGTCCTTCTCCGCCGCCGATTCGTGCTGGGTGAGCCGCCTGACCAGCTGCCCACCCATTGCCGAGTTTGCCAATCTGTATTGGTAGTAAGAGAGCCCAAGCCGCGTCGCCTCCGAGATGCTGCGGTGGTCAAGGGCGATGCTGCTGTTGGACGAGACCCCTGTCGCCGCGCACCAGTTCTGATGGTAGGTGTCAACCGAGCCGTCCGTTGTCTTGAGGAAGCCGTGCAGACCCTCACTGACCGCGCGAGGGTCGGCGGAGGGAGAGCCCTCAAAGCTCGTCTCCTCGAGATTGGCAACGGCGTCCTCTGTTGGCGGGAACCGCTTGCTCCCAGCTGTCCGAGAGGTACCCGAGAGCTGAAGATCCCCACCCCCACCGACACGATTCTTCCAGCCGGCCAGGTCATGGATGTCGACCCTCCAGGCGTGAGCCCTCGAGACTGTAACGTTCTCGTCGGGCTGCACCACCCTTTTGGCACCCCGGAGCAGGGTCCACCCAGTGTCACCGAGGATGCTGAGCTCCTCCTTCTCACCGAACCGGGAGTACAGTCGGGGCCCTGAAGAAGGAACCCTTTTCGTTGGGAAGGGGCTCCGTGTTCCTTGAGTGTTTCACAGCTTGCGTCAGGTTTTCCTTATGTTTTCGATCGGGAATCGAAGTTTAACCCATGGAAAAAGGGGCCTCGTTCCTTATTTAGGGTTCCTTAGGTCAACGCCTCGACTGTACGACGGGCCTGAGATGACCCACATCTCAGCGTTGCCCACCTCGATGCCCTCGCCAGCGATGTCCGCCAGAACCCTGGCACGAGCGGTGGCCTCATGGAGCTCTCGCACTGGGATCGGATCGAACACGAGGCTACCGTTGCTGCATCGGGCCGGGACCGGTCGTCCCCCCCCACACCAGCGCCTCGAGCCTGACCGTCGCGGTGTCCAGCACCTGCAGGTCTGCCGCCGGAGTGAGAACGGCCCACCTTCCTGACGAGACCCGCTCCAGCACCAACCTGTGATGCCTCGTGAAGTTAGGATCGTCATCCTCCTCCTCTTCCTCCTCCTCTTCCTCCTCCTCCTCCTCTTCCTCCTCCTCCTCCTCCTCCATCGAAGCAGTATCTCCTTCTCCGTGATATCTGAAACACTCGTGGCTGTTCAGAGAGGCGGAGCGCCGAGGGCGCCGTGGGGCCTCACCTGCAAAAAGGGTGGCCAACTTGGGCCAACGGCTGCTCGAAAACTTGTGCAGACTGAGCCACCAGCGATTCGGGCCGGGCGAAAGGGGGGGATTGGGAAAGGGGGGGGTACGAAATTTGCTGCATGCAGCTGGTTTCGGCTCACCGAGGGGCCCATTCCTCGATACGTAGCCGCCTCCGGTGCCGGGAGGCGCCGGGAAAATCAGCTGCGTGAGCTGATACTCAAACCCCCCCTTTGCTATCCCCCCCTTTCGCCCGACCCGAGCGATGCACGTCGATATGCGCAGCGGCCGATGAGCTAACCCACACCAATGACCACACCAGGCTCACGCTCCCCGCCAGGCTGGGGTAGAAATAGACAGGCAGCGTCGAGCCAGGCTACAGCTGCACCGACCTCAGTTGACGAGATAGAGCGCGCACGATGTTGTGGCAACCTGTGTCGGAACTCGTCTTGAACTGGACACCTCGAAGTGCAAGGGCGCCCCCGAGGGCGCGAAGTTATTCGCGCTTCGCGGTTCGGCTCCGATTCCTCCTTATCCTCCTCTTCTCCCCTGGGAGGCGGCGCGAGAGCGCGAAGCTATTCGCGCTTCGCGCTTCGCGCTGCGCGAAGCGCGAAGTTGGGAGCCCTTGGAAATGACAGGGCAGACCGGTTCGAAGGCCAGGGTGTTGAGAGCGACCACGTCACGCGGCAGTGAAGACAGGAAGTAGAAGGTTTCTGTCCTGCGGAACGTGTGGGCGCCTGGATACCTCGACCCGGCCGGGCCTTCTCGAGCAAAGAGGGGCGACTACAGGCGCAACCAGCTGGGTAGCGACACGTCCGAAGGCCTCATCTTCTGCGGAAGACGCGTACAAACTCACAGATATAGAAACAGACAGAGTAGAGAGAGAAAGAGAGAGAGAGAGAGAGTATAGAGTAGAGACATCGTGCAGCATTGTGCAGAAGAGTAGGGAAAGAGTACGATCCCACCTGGATGCTCACACGCCCTTTGTCTGGCGGGCCTCTGGAGCGATGTTTCTCTGGCCCCGTCCCTGCCCCTGCCCTACCTCCTGCGTCCTCGATTTGGGGTGGGCAGGGGGGGGGGATCGCGGCCCAAGGAAATGGAGGCCGCGACCTCGTCGCAGCTGCAGAGCATCACCGACATCGTCGGGAAGCTGCGGGCCCGCCCCGCCGCCCGGGGGCGGTTCCCTTCCCCCCTCCAGGGACGAGGGTCCTCACCAGACGCCGCACACTTCGGCCCTCCGCACTGCCCGCTCTTCCGAGCAATGCATCTGCGCACAGGCCTATTGCAACTTACTGTGTGCGGGTAAGACTTGTGTCCATGTCCACTGCAGCTAGGAGTTTCGGGCTCTCTTCCCCAAGATCCCGAGGCGCACTGGATAGATACTTATATGTATATGTATATGTATCTGTATATGTATATTTATATGTATGTACACATGTTATATAGATATGTGTGTATATAACTCTGGCCCCCAGACGTTCGCTTTCTACCCATATCCAGTGTGCCTCGGCCTTGCGTCGCCCCTTTCGAAACAGTCCAAGACGCACAGGATATGGATACACATATTGCCCGCAACATGGCCCGTGCGCGTTTCCAGTTACGCCTGGCATGCACCTGCACGGAGCTCCTCCGAGGTCCGTGTTCATGGCTGTTGCTGTCGTTGGCAACTTGCGGCGCCTTGACATTCTCGGCGTCCAAAGGCACAGGGACCGTGACAAACCACAGTCCGTCTTGACGGAAAAAACGGTTCCCCCTGGTGGAAGGGGCCGCGGGTTCTGTTGGCCCGCTCGTGGAACGCAGGCCCCTCCATCTTTCCCGCTCTTCCGGGGGGCGACCAGGCGGGGGGTTAATGGCTGAAGGGGGGTTCGGTATCATGACCGGGGCCGTCTCCCTTGCCAGGCCAACTCAGGAGGGGAAAAAACACACAGACACTATGAATCGTCTATCCCCAGGAAAAGATGGGGAAATGTGGGAAGTGGGGGGGAAGACCCAAACCCAGAGAATATGGTGAAAAAATTGGAAATCCTGTTATTTGTGCATATATATATATATATATATATATATATATATATATATATATGTGTGTGTGTGTGTGTGTCCCAGGGCCCCATTCAGTCATGACCGGGGTCGTCTCCTCTGCCAGGCCAGCGCCGGGCTGCCCGCGTGCCTCGGGCCACGATCTGCGCCCCCCCTCCCTGGACGCCCCCCCCCTCTCTGGCCGCCCCCGTGAGCCCCTTCGGCCAGAACTTGCTCCTCATCTGAGGAGGCGGGCCAGGCGGCCGAACCCTGACCTCAGGGCTTGTCATCATCATCATCATCATCATCATCATCTCTGGCCGCCCCCGCTCCTCCTCCGCAGCAGTGCTGGCCAGCGGCGAGGCGTTAGCCCCGCCTGCGCACCGTTGCCGCTGCCCTTGGCATCGCTCGGACGTGTGCGTTTTTCCTTCGGCGGGGACCATCGAGGAGCATCCCTGATCATTTGGCGAAAAAGCCACGCACGAAACCAGAAAAAACACAGGACATGGACGTCCAAGCGATGGCCAGTGCCACTGCCGTAACCGTCATGGATCAGGATGGCTCCCGCCGATCGCGGGACACGGAGGCCTCTGGTCCGGGGATCGCTCAGGAGGTGCTTCTGCTACGCCAGCGCGCAGCTCGTGCATCCTTTTGCTTGCGGGTGGCGCGCTGATGCTTATGTTGGGTGGCGCGGCAGTGTTCAAGCGAACGGGTCTGATTCAGCTGGTGGATCCTGCGGGCGAGGGAGCATCAGCTATTGAACCTGCTGAGGGGCAGCGGTCCAGGATCCCTGGGCAGAGAGCGCTGCCAAGCTTGCAGTCGCCGGTCTTCCAGCTAACATCCGCAAGGAGCCCCAGGACGCCCTCCAGCAGTGGGTCAACGCCGCAGTGGAAGAGTTCGAGGCCACTGCCACGAACGTCACGCAGGCCACCGCCACCGCCACGACCGCCACGAGGCACCGTCCGAAGGGACCCTGATATTAGAGCATCCATTCCCGTCGCTGCCTCCTAGTTGTGCAAGAGGGCCGCTGGAGCTGTGTTGTAACGACTTGTTTCACAAGCTTGCCATTGCACCTCTGACGTGCATCGCTTGTTTGTTTGCTTGCTCTCTCTATATATGTATATATGTATATATGTATACATATATGTATGTATATATACATATATATATATATATATATATATTTCTGTCTCCCTCGCCGCGAGCGTCACACATGCGTCTCGCTCCCTTTCCCTCCATACCCTCACGAACTTCACGCTGGAGGCCGGAGCGCGTCATAAACGCACTGAACGGGCGGTCGTGGCAGCTACGCAGGACGTGAACGCCAGCGGGCAGCTCAATCTCGACGACCTCAGGCAGGCAGTCGCCAGGGCTCAGCAGAGCGACGTGCCGACGCCGAGGCCCGGGGGCCCCCCCACGCATGCTGGCGCGCTGGCTGGGCTTCTGGAGCCGAGAGACCCCCGCATTCGGAGACTCCCGGTGGCGGCGCCGGGCAGGAAAGCGAGGAGACCGTCCTGCGCCCAGCCTTGGTGGACGGGTTCCGCGCCGCAGGAGCGGACACCGACCGACGCCGTCTGGGAGACCAGCTTCAGGCACATCCCAGAGGCTGCCGCAGTTTCGATGTCGCGTCCGAGTGGCTGCCTCCGCGCTGCCAAGGAGCAGCAGGGCATCGTCAGCTGCAGGCAGCCCCCGATCCAACGTGGTCACCTCCGAAGGCCCCGAGCCGCCACACGAGCACGCCGATGGGGGCGCTGGACAGACCATGCCCGCGTCCGCCAGCATGCCCGTGGTCGCCTTCCCCCGCCTGATGCACCCAGGAACGTGCGGCTGCACAGAGCTCCCACGCCGATCCTCCGGAGGAAAAAAAAACACGCAGACACAATTTAGCCGCCCACTCCCAGGAAAGCATGGGAAACTATGGGAAGCAGGGGGGGAGACAGAAACCACGAACATATGGCAAACTGTGCGGGATCCTGTCATTTGTGTGTATTTATCTGTGCGTCCCAGGGCCCCTTTCCAGATCCCCGGCCACCCGCAGAAGCGGACGCCGCCGCTCCTGCTCGTGCCCCGCTCCGCGGAGGCCTCTGCTGCTGCCCGTGGCGCCACGGGCGATCGCTCCGCTCCGCTGCCGGCCTCCTTCGCCACCGCAGCAGAGCGCGCCTCAGCCGCCCCCTCGACGAGCCACGGAAGGCCGACCCGGCACGCCTTGCATTGAAGTGGGGCCTGTCCCTCTACAGGGGGAATGCTCAAGCATAGTCCACAAAAGCAGTCAGGGGATTTTTTTTGTTTTACATTTGTTTTGGCGTATTTTCTCATTTTTCCTCCAAAATCCTCCTATACAGTCGGGGCGCTGGAGAAGGAACTCTTTTCGTTGGGGAGGGGCTCCGTGTTCCTTAAGTAGTTAGTTCGCAACTTATCTCAGGTTTGCCTCATGCTTTCGATGGAAAATCAAAGTTTAACCTATGGAAAAAAGGGGCCTCGCTCCTTATTTAGGGTTCTTCAGGTCAATGCCCCGACTATAGGGGGACAGGCCCGACTTAAGCCTTGCAGCGCAGCGTGCGCGCAGACGGCACCTGCGGCGGCCTCCGCCCCCTCGGGCCGCGGCACTCTGCACAACCGCCGCCACGCCGCGCCACGCCGCGTCGACCTTCCGCCGTCGGGGGCGTCCTGGCTGGCCCCGCCTCCGCCGGCGCACCGCCGCCGCCTCCGCCTCCTGCTGTTTGGGTCTCTTCGCTGGTCCCCGTCCATCCGGTCCGCGTTTAAATCCTCCTCCTCCTCCTCCTCCTCCTCCTCCTCCTCCTCCTCTCCCTCCTCCTCCTCCTCCTCCTCCTCCTCCTTCTCCTCCTCCTCCTTCTCCTTCTCCTTCTCCTCCTCCTCCTCCACGTGGCCGCCTGTCCATCCGGTCCGCGCTGAGATCCTCTGTGTCACGCTGCGGAGAAGCTCTGCTGTGACGATTTGCGGTGTCCGAGGGCGTGGTCATCGATGGGCTGGGTTGCTTTGCGTTGTGGAAAAAAAAGAGCCTCCGCCGGCGCACCGCTGCAGGTGCCAGGCGGTCGACGGAGAGAAAACGTGATGAGCATCAACTGTCGGCGTTCCGCGCGGACTTCTTGGATCCGCGCTGGGCCCCCCTGGCGGCGCCTCCAGCGCCGCCCCTGGCGCGCTCCGCGCGCCCAGGAGGCAGATCCAAGAAATCCGCGCGGTCCTCCAAAAGTTTATGCGTATGTATGTTTGTTTGTTGTTGTTGCTTTTCTTACTATGTTTCTGCTTCTTCTTCTATGATGGCGGGCCAGCTGCCGCCGCCGTGCCGGCTGCGGATGGGGCCGAGATCGACGACACGCCCCCGGCTGGGGCACCCAGGGCTTTTCTCGCGTCCGCCGCCCTCTCGCTCTTCGGCGGCGCTCGCTCGACTGTCGCTGGCAGCGCTGCGAGTAGGTCCCACCGCCGCCTCTGGTTCCGACAACGAGCGGCGCCGCTTCGATGGCTGGGCCACGGAATGCGTTCGGATCACCTGCAGGGTGCACGCCCTGGAAGGACCCTCCCTCGCATTCGGCGCGCCCTTTGGCGGCCCCGCGGCGCTCGACGACCAGGTCGTCGGCCGTGCTGACCACGGCCCGCGCCGCGCGCCGCGCGCTGCTGAAGGTGGGGCACGCCGCGGCGGTGCTGGTGCTCGCGCGACCCTGCGCCGACGCGCGTCGGAGCTTGCTTCCCGGCTCGGGCGAAAAAAGGGGCAGGGTGCAAGACGCGCACCTGCAGCAGTTCGACAGCGACCCCCGCGGAGCCGTGCAGCTCGCCGCGGGCGGCGACCTCCCTGGCGCGGCCTGGGAGTAGTGCTCGCTCGGCGTGAGCAGAGGCGGCTTCGTGCGGATCGTCAAGAGGCCTCGCGCGCGGGAGATGGCATCGCGCCTCGCCATGCTCGGCCTGGGCGAGGCGGGGCCATCGTGGCCGAGCACGACAGACGCGCGGGCGACGCAGGGGCCCGCCTTGGCCAAAGCTTGCCGCCCACAGTGGGCTCCCTCGTCGTGGCCGCGCTTTCGGGGGCCGCCTTGGAAGCCGAAGGGCGCCGCGCTGCACTTTTCGACCCGCGCGCGGAGGCCCCCGCCGCCGCGCCCCAGTAGCGCCGCGGCTGCCCCCGAGGCGTCG